CGTCCGCAGAGCACGTTCGTAACTTGACTGGTGCGAGTCGCGACTGCCGACGAGAGGAACATTCTGCTCTACATGACTATGCGTTTCGCTAAGAGTATTAAGCGAATCCAAGGGTCTCCAGGCATACCATGCCGGTGACAAGCTGAAATGTCGAGGTCGTACATCGTCGTTGATGAACATCTTAGTCTGAGGGATAGCCACGATCTGGGCTTGGGAGACTGAGAGCTTCCGATGTGCAGGTGAGACGGGGAGGGCGTGTTCCTGGGTCACGTTCGTTGGGAGCTAAGGCAGGGGTGAGGAGAGCTTGAGCTATGCAGAGAAGGGGAGCTTGAACTACGTAGAGGAAGGCAGCTACATAAAATATTTGCCCTCTCCTTCCTCTCGAGAGGGTCTTGTTGGGCATTCTACGTTGAACCTATTTTTATACTCCGTGTCTATCTCGCACCTGATTTTAGGATCTATCGAAGACGATGACGGACTTTAAGGGATCGTGCCACTGTAAGCAGACGGAGCGGACGGCGACGCTGCAGCCAGACCAGTAGAGCCATGTACTTTGGTGAGCTTGAATTGGAGGTAATCAAGGAGAATTCGAGTACGGATGAGGAGAAATAGTCACTGTAACACTTGTAAGGAGCTCTCCGGCGGAACATACACGCTCAACCAGGTCATTCTCGCCAAGGCGCTTAAGATCACAAAAGGCGATGACTTGGGAAAGTACACATACCAGGGTGCCTCTGGCCAAAGTGTCCACTGCGCACGTTGCTCTCTATCCCAGTCTAGCGGGGTGTGTATGCTGACAATCACCTTTGGAATAGTTTTACTGCAAAAACTGCACCACATACGTATACCACCAGCAAGAGGTCCTGGTCCGGACAACATCGTTCTGAGGACTGGACTGCTGGAGCAAGGAATAAAGGACTTCAAACCTCTTGTGGAGATCTTTGGCAAGGACCTCTTGCCGTGGGAGAAGGAGGTTGCAAACACGATATATTGAATATTGAGATAGGTATCATGATACTGCAGTCTCCTCTTCCCCTCTGGTATCTAATTTCCATTTGACCCACCTCCTAGTCCTCAAGCGGCGGGAATTTTCTCAAAAAGTGACTTGGGCATTCGTAACCGCCTGGGTTGTGGTCCAAGTATAGTTGGTGATACTCCTCAGCGTCCCACCACTTGCCCGCAGGCAGAATCTCTGTTGCTACGGCGCCCTTCCACCACTGCTTGTTTACTTTGTCTGTGACATCGCGCGCAATTTTCTCTTGCTCGGCGTCGTGGTAAAAGATAGCTGAGCGGTATTGGGTGCCAACGTCTGGACCCTGACGGTTTGGCGTTGTGGGATCGTGCATTTTGTAGAAGAATTCTAGTAACGAGCGATAGGTTACTTTGGTCGGGTCGTATATTACTTGTAGTGCTTCGGCGTCTATGTTTGCGCATGTATTAGTATACACTTTTTTCTGACTTTTTTTAACCCCAGTCTCGGTTGCACAATCATAGCAAAAACTACGGCAGGCCGAACCACGCAGAAAGTAGATATACATACGGCCGGTCCTTCCACTGCACACAGCTCTATATCCCGGGTTCTCGGTGTCGCCACCAATGTAACCAACGCGCGCATCGTATAGACCCTTGTCCTTGTACTCTTTGCGGTACATGTGCTCAACACCCCAGAAACAGCCCGCTGCGAGGGTGGCGGTGTGTGCGCCCGAGGGCACGGTCATGGGCTGCGCGGGCGCGTTGGACATTGTGCTGAAGGGCCGCAGGAGCTTGGTCAGAAAGGACATGGAAAAGAGGGCGGGGAGGAGGGTTACAAGGAAGATAGTAAGGGACTTCAGGATGGCGGAGCTTTTTGTGAGAGAGTGTGAAGAAAAGGAAATGAACGGATTGCGATATGTCCGCCGCTTACAAAACGGACAGAGGCGGCGGCGATGATGCCATGATTAGAATGGACAAATCGAGGGAGGGGTTGCTTCAGCCACAGTGGCGGTGCATGGTGGCGTCGCGGGGTCGAGTACCGGAGTTGTCAGTTCCTCCAGCTTGGCTAGCTTTGGCTTGTACCTTGTCTTCTGTTCAACGAGGATTGCTTTGGCCATCACATCCTCCGCTTTTATCGGTTCCGCCCTGCACCTCTTGACACGTCGCTATATATTGTGGCTCCTGCGCACATTGGATGCACTTCTCCGCTTTGCCAGGTTTGTACCTTTATCCGGACCTTAGTCGGTGGAAATCGTCCTATGCCGACTGGTAAAACACAGAACACCTGCTTGTCGCGCCATGGCCAGTCTCTGTTGGGCCCTCATCGCGTACCGCTGACCGAATCTGCAGTTGAGCAGACAGGATTTGTTTTTGCGTTGCCTTCCGCCGCTGATGCTGCTGAAAAAAAAAACCCCTCGGCTTGCTGGAAGAACCGGACGCTCATCCTTCAAGCCACAATACCCTTGCTGGCTTCCCGCTCATCTGGGGATGGCCAATAGGAATGGTTTGCGACAAACGAGCGCTGGGCGTGTATCAGCCTCCCCCAGACGTCTTTCGAGCCTTTAGTGCTTTCTCTCACCCATTGTTATATGTGCACTGAGCAACCAACTACTGCTCATATCAAACAAATGGAGCGGAACTCCCCGACCTGAACCCCTCTCTTTTTTGACATCCTAATGATAAACTTTCCTTATACATCTGGCTCGACCTGCCATCCTGGTCATGACACCCCGACGGGCCTTGTGTAATCAACGCTCAATTTATTTGGCCAGGACCTTTTCGTTGGCTGCATATCCAGCTCTTGAACCGGCAGTAGTCGTTCCTCAGCTCGTACGATGACCCAGCTGTCGTGGCGTACCACCAGGTTGCCGCATGCATTCCGCAGCAGCATCCTGCATGCATCGTAACCAGCCATTCCCCAAGTATTTTTGGACCTGTTTCCAGACTCCAGAATCTGCCCCTGCAGGATATTGTGTTCGCTAAAATTGATTAGAGGCAGGGTCTCGAGCAGCGATGGAGCGACAAGCTTTAATCTAAAGTTAATCTAGCCGCCAAGAGGCCAGTCCTGTCGTTCCATTCACGATCTCAACATGCTGTCATCCTCTGTACATGACAACCACCGAACGGCTCCACCAGACGGACACGATGGACCCGCAAGTTCCGTACATTTTACCGCCAGCGTATTGCCGACGGATGGACTGATCAAAGTCGCCACCCGTGTGCATATTTAACCCCCTGCTGTACTCCCAAGCCTCTTACCCAGCTTCCAGGCCCGTGTTTCTATTCTAGGCTTGATACCCCGGGAAAATTTACTCACTTCAATTCCATATCAATCTATCCCCACTGTACTCGCCACGAAAACTCTGGATGCGAAATGGAAGCGAGCATGTGACCCACCGTTCGAGCAAAAGTTTGGTACGCTAACTATCACCTGATGTGTGAAAGCTATGGGTTCCATGACCACTATACCCCCGTTGCTCGTATCCATCATCTAATGGTCCTATCTATCCACGCGACAGAGTCGTACAGGCACAAGAGTTCGGTACTGTCAGCAGCCAGCTTCTGTACTACTCGTCACTGCAAAAGAAGCACTTGGAGCAAGGTTCAGGTACTCTGACACCCGTAAGGTTGGAATCTTGGCATGTGATTGCCATTCAAACAGGAATAGTGCCCTGAAGCAGGGTATAGGGTGAGAGGACGCTATCGTGCCATATTGACCTGGACAAGTATGGTGCTTTGGAGAAGGTGTCCGATGGGAGGACGCTATCGCGTACCCCAGATATTAGTTTCAGCCATACAGATGAGTTACAGTTACAACAGCGGAAACAACTTACAGCTTGGCAATGGATACAATACCTCAGCTGAGCAGCATATCGAGTCCTAGTCCTATGAGAGCAAGTGGGCGTTTTATTCAGCCGTTTTTCGATATTGCAGGCGGCACTTGGCAGCGGTTATCGTGCTCTGTAGGTTGCTGCTGAATCTTACAAGATTGTTGCTACGGTGCTGACTGCCGCACTCACGGGAAATGAGAAGATGCCGGCTGAAAAGTATATAATCTGGCCCATTTGCCCATATGATCGTCACTCAGCTTCCACTCCGAGCACATTCTCCCATATCAATACCTCCACTTTTTGTAACACAGAAAGATTATCAATCAATCGCCCAACATGAAGTGGTTCTTGGCTCTCCTTCCTCTCGCGGCAGCAGCACCTGCTCTGCCAACCGTCCAGCTTGGTGATGCTCCGCCAGCGGGTTCGGTAGGCGTCTTGCTATACACAAGAAATCAGATGACACATTGCTTACACAGGACAGGTTACGATCCGCGGTGTCAGCTATGGAGGAACCGGTTGCCCACAGGGAACCATGAGCTCCCAGATCAGCAGTGACAGGACTGTCGTTACGCTCATCTTCGACTCCTACATTGCTTCAATTGGTCCTGGCATCGCCGTTACTGAGCAGCGTAAGAACTGCCAGCTGAACGTGGACATCAAATACCCCGGAGGCTTCCAGTACTCCATCCTGTCTGCTGACTACCGCGGTTACTCTGCCATCCAAAAGGGTGTCACCGGCACACTCAAGTCAACTTACTACTTCTCTGGCCAGACTGCTCAGGTAAGTCTATAATGTGATATGAGGCGCTAAGAACTAGCCCTAACGCCGTCTCCAGACCAGCACCCAATACGTATTCGAGGGACCCGCCAACGGCGACTACCTTAAGCATGACACAGCCGATAGCACGTCGGTTGTGTGGTCGCCTTGCGGCACTACTGGCATGCTCAACATCAATTCGCAAGTCCGCCTGACTAGCACCAACCCCTCCGCCACTGGTCTGCTCACCACCGACTCTACTGATCTCAAGTTCACCCAAGTTGTGTACGTGCAGTGGCAGAAGTGCACTGCGTAGATGGCTGATTGCGGTTGATGCAGGCCTAAGAACCTAACTAGCTGGATAAGCGTGAATGGGCCATGGGAGCTGAGCGTTGAAGATCTTGAGTGGAGGAAGTGTCGTGGTGATGATTGGATGATTTGATGGCTTGCTTGTTTATATTTTGATGCCTGTAGTTACTTGTATGAGATGCGCATCTCTCGCTATTTTTCTGTGCTGCTACGGTGACCAACAATCTGATGATATGTACTAGAGGTGGAATAGAAGGTGGTGGCAATGTGCCAGTGTAGTAGGGTCATGAGACAAAACTAGTCTTTGCCATACGTCGGAAAAGGTGGAGACGAGAGGCCGGTCTTGGCATTCGGGGTCGTGGTTGCCCTATCTGAGACCCCTGTCTGTTTACTGTGGCCGTGCGTCGGACAACAGAAGTTGGGAAGCAGTCCAACACCGTCATTGAGTCCACCAGTCAGCCACACCACCACTCTTTACATACAGCGTGCTGCTCAATATCAGACGCTGTGTAGCACAACTGACTTTCTAGTTCACATCCCCACGGCGCAACCATGGCCGCTGCGGGCGCGTCCTCCATCTCCGTCACCGTACGAGTCCGCCCTTTTACCATTCGAGAGGCAGCCCAGGTGACGCGCAATGACGACCAAACTCTGTTCCTCGGCGATGGCTCGCTGGCCGGAGTGCCTGCACCAAAAATTCACAAGGGCATCCGACCGGTGATCAAGGTCATGGATGAAAAGTGCTTGTAGGGCAACTCAGGAGTACCACACCAGTATTGGGCTAACATGGTTTCAGGATATTTGACCCCCCAGAAGACAGCACTATACATAGATTCGGCCGTTCAACAACCGGACCTCAAGGCAAGCGAGCAAAAGACCAAACATTTGCATTCGACAGAGTATTCGACGACACAACTTCCCAGAGCGATGTATACGAAGCCACAACTAAGCCTCTGTTGGATAGTGTGCTTGAGGGATACAATGCAACCGTCTTTGCATATGGTGCCACAGGATGTGGAAAAACACATACCATCACGTATGTCTATGCACACCGCCGCTTAACATGGGAGGGGCAGAACTGACCTGTGACCAGTGGAACATCACAGCAGCCTGGTATAATTTTCCTCACTATGCAAGAACTCTTTGAAAAGATTCAAGAAGTGCAGGATGAAAAGGTCACCGAGATTACACTCTCGTACTTAGAGATCTACAACGAGACGATTCGCGACTTACTGGTGGAAGGTGGCAGCAAGCAAGCCCTGATGCTGCGGGAAGACGCGAACCAAGCAGTTTCTGTAGCTGGCTTGTCAAGCCACAGGCCGCAAAATGTTGGTCAAGTTGAATTTGCGTGAATCGCCCCCCCAATCGCTGACAAGACGTAGGTTCAAGAAGTCATGGATATGATTGTCCGCGGCAACGAATACCGAACCATGTCGCCTACTGAAGCCAATGCTACCTCGTCCCGATCTCACGCCGTTCTCCAAATCAATGTCTCGTCCAAAGACCGCAACGCCTCCGTCAACGAGCCCCACACTATGGCTACACTCAGTATCATCGATTTGGCGGGAAGTGAGCGAGCTAGCGCTACCAAGAACCGTGGAGAGCGACTGACTGAGGGTGCCAACATCAACAAGTCTCTTCTCGCATTGGGAAGCTGTATCAACGCGCTGTGTGATCCACGGAAACGTAACCACATTCCGTATCGTAATTCGAAGCTCACCCGATTGCTCAAATTCTCGCTCGGGGGCAACTGTCGCACTGTTATGATTGTTTGTGTGAGCCCGTCAAGCGCCCATTACGACGAGACACAAAACACATTGCGCTATGCCAACCGTGCAAAGAACATCCAGACCAAGGTCACCAAGAACGTATACAACGTCAACCGCCATGTCAAAGACTACCTAGTCAAGATTGATGAGCAAAGACACTTGATTGAAGAATTGATGAAGAAGCAAAAGGATTTCGAGGGTAGTGCATTCATCAAATACCAAAAGCAGAGCGAGAAGAAGGACGGTATTCTACGGGATGCTATCATACGTCTACGTCAAGCCTATGCGGATTCTGAGCCCGAACGTCGAGAGCGTTTCAACATGTCCAAGACACTGAAGCAAGCTGAAAAGCGCATCTCGCTCATCTCTTCCTGGATTGCAGCATTCGACAACGTCAGTGATATCAGGGAAAACGAAGAGATGCCATCGCAAATCACTACGATGAGGGACACTGCGGTCGGGATTTCAGCCGAGCTTGAGCAAACGAGACAGCATTGCCACCGTCGTTTGGAGCGTACCAATTGGACAAGTAAGATGGACACTGCCCTCCAAGTAGGACTGAGGGGTCTGGCAGAAGTGGACAACAATGCAGATGGCCGTGACGCTGCCAATCTGACAAGAGAATACGAACTCCTGAAGTCGAATGCAGACCGCGAACTTTTCAATGCTCTGCTTGACCAAGAACGAGGCGGTGATGCTGCCATTGTCCAAGTGCTTGTCCAAGCGCATATTGAAACTGTTGCAATTCTGAATCAGATCACTCAAATGGACGAAGCCGACGCAGTCGCCGCCGCACGCAAATTACTAACCAAGATCATGAACGCGTGTACAACCGCCACTTCACAAGCTATTCGTCCAGATGGCGGCTTGTCAGTCGGTGGATTCTCTGAATCAAACTACAAGGGCACGCCGAAGCGAAAGAAGCCTATCAATATCATAGAACCCTCTCCAATGCGCCCATTGGCCTTACCGACACTGGCTGATGCATCCCATCTCACTGCGTCGCCCGCAAAAGCGTCACCACGCCGAAAAAAGCTCATGAGTGGAGTGAAGAAAGGCATCCAGTTTTCTCCTATGAAGAAGAAGTCGCCCTCGAAGATTAAGCGAGGAGTGCGATGGAGAGACGATACTGAGAACGGCACGCTTGCGGAGTTCCAAAAGACACCTGAACATGTTGAAGGTACCCCAACTACCACCTCAATCGACGTGCCGCAGCCAAACTTCACCGCTCCCGCCCCCGCCCCCACACCAAGACTAGATGGCAGCAGCTCTTCGCCCATTCCTACGCCGCCAAGGGCGTCTGTGGACCTCAAAGGTACATCGCGATTCGCGGTTGGCGCCCTTTCCAAACGACCCGATGGTTCGCCTACCTCCCGCATCCCCGCCCTATACACCTCGGATTCTGATAGTGCGTCTCCTTTACGCGAGATTGCTAGCAATCCGCGTGGTTCTGGGCTGAGTCACGTACAAAGCGTATCCTCTAATGCTGCGGCTGAGGCAGACAGTGGTAACTCCAGCTCAGAAGGAGAAAAGTGGACAGCATCAGATGCGCGCAAGATTAGCCACGCAATAAGGCGGCGCTCTTCTACCAATGCAGGCTCCGTACCAATCAGCCGCGCTCATCGGCGCCGCAGCCCAACAGCAGCGACCATTGGAAGTCCGCCTGGCGAGAACTCACTTCTGTCTGCGGGTGCAGCACGCCGCATGGTCAAGTCTTACCACGACGCTGACTGGAAACACAGCGTACTCAGTCCGCGAGTCACGCCCATTATGAAAGGTGCTGCAAGACGTACTACCGTGGCTAATGGTGACGACCGACCACGGGAGGCGCCGGCAAACCTAAGTTCGCGAGCACCTGTTCGCATTACCAGTGGCTCTTCTGCGAGAGGTACTAGCCTGATGCCTAACTCTAAGGGCGTTTGGCGTTGAGTGCTTTCTTCCTGGAGAGAAAAACACGCAAGTATCTAGAGAATGCATTATTAGGGGGTTGATGCTTCTTCTATGAGACTTTACAGTCTCATATTTGTTTCTTTCCAATTGCATGTCTCTCAACTTTACGTTGCCCTTTTCCCTATCAAACTCTCGCGTCTCAAGCATGAAAATTCACATTTAGAAGTATCAATGACACGGTTGGTCGGCTGGGCTGGCGTTTGTATACCATCTTTCTGCCTATGGCAGCGATGCGGATTCGTTGGCTGTTTTGTTAAACTGTATTTTGGGCTGTATTGCAATGCATTGGGCATATCTTGATCGTTTTGGTTTTTCTCTGGTGTAACTGTCTTGGTCGAATCGTAGGCTGCCCTTGCATCAGTCCCGTCAATAGCATTTTCCTTTTAATGTCTATGACAGTCTGTTCTTTATGACTGTTTCTGTAACGCCATGATGACAGTAGAATTATTTTGACCGTGTTTCCACATAGCGCCACGTCTCGTTATCATTGGCAATAAAAACGAACTTGCTCCACGTAGTACATGTACTCTTCGGCTAATCTCGGTGCAATCGGTAAGTAGCAGCTCTAAGCATCATGACCTCGGGATCATCCTAGTATAACTCCACTTTCACTTAACGACGCACATACGTCATTATCAAGCTTTTGGGCCCACTGGACGCACACTAACTAATGCAGCAATGGACGAAAAGCGGATGGAAGACCTGAGAATGCTCAAGATGCTTATTAATACTATATTCCTACACTTAAAGATAGTGTGAAGTGACGTTTACCCCAATACCCTACTACTATTACTAACTGTGTCGTACTAATATTATTGACACAAGACTCAAGTACATCTTTCCTGAAACAGTTAAGAATTTGGATCTTTTCTTGCCTGGAATTTGTCGTGTTGTTTGGAGGAAGGAAGAGGAACCAACCTAGATCAGAAAAAAATGAAGGAAGCTCAGGTTTCTAAAGGCACGGTGGTTGTGATCAAGGATGTCGAGATTCCACAGCCGGGTCCCAAGCAAGTCGTTATCAAAGTCGTAGTGAGCGGAACTAATCCTAAGGACTGGTAAGTTCTCTTTTGTTTTCTTTTTTTCTTCCTTACTACTAACACCTTCCCCTTTCATCTCTTTCATCTTCATGATATCGTTTCAATCTAACACAAGGACCAACAAACAGGAAACTCCCTGAAGTTGGCATACAAAATGATGCCAACACAGGTGATGATATCGCCGGCTATGTGCACAGTGTGGGATCCGAAGTCTATGAGTTCAAGCCAGGAGACCGCGTTGCTTCCTTCCACGAAATGATGACTCCCGGCGGTAGCTTCGCAGAGTACGCTGTAGGCTGGCAACACACGACCTTCCACATCCCCAAATCCGTGTCCTTTGAAGAAGCAGCTACCATTCCCCTCGCCGCCATGACATCAGCAATCGGCCTACAATTGCGACTCGGTCTCCCCGACCCATGGACCCCCGTGTCAGACGGCAAAAAACTGCCCCTCGTCGTGTACGGCGGCGCCAGCGCCGTCGGCGCCTTCGCCATTAAAATCGCCCGCAAAGCAAATATCCACCCCATCATCGCCGTTGCAGGCCGCGGTATATCGTACGTTGAAACACTACTCGACCGCTCTAAGGGCGACACAATCGTCGATTACCGCGGCGGCGACGACGCCGTTGTAAAAGGGATCCGAGATGCGCTCCAAGGAGAGAAGCTTACACATGCTTTGGACGCCGTGTCCGAACACAGCTCGTATCTTAACATCGCAAAGGTACTTGAACCCCATGGAACGATTGCGCTCGTCTTGCCTGGCAAGGAGTACAAGGATTTACCGGAGACTGTGACGGTTACTATGACGATGGTGGCCTCGGCGCATGCTGAGGATGCGGATTTTGCGCATGTCATGTTTAGGTGGATGGCGAGGGGTTTGCAAGAAGGGTGGTTTAAGGGACATCCGTTTGAGGTTGTGCCGGGGGGGTTGCAGGGTGTAGAGACAGGATTGAGGAATTTGAAAGAGGGGAAGGCGAGTGCGGTTAAGTATGTTTATAAGATTGGAGAGGAGTGAGGGAAGTTGTGAGGGTGGGAGGTAAGAAGAGAGGGGGTTTGTGTGTATTTGAGGGTTGAGGGGTGATGAGAAGAATTTTGGGTATGGTATGTGTCTTGTGTGAATCCATGGAAAGCTGCGTATCATTCTTTCTTTTTGGATTCAGCGACATGGTTTACCTGATTTAGAATGGTGACGTGAAATATCTATACGTATCATTGCAACTACCAATTTCTATACGTTTGCTTTGATGAAAATATTTAGCAATCCTTGGCTACAGCAACGTACAGTTGAAATTCTAGCATCAGATCTTAAGGTATGTTATTCTAATGTGCTCAACGCAAAAGACGAGAAATATACGCTACCATTTCACACCCACGTTTACTACACCGAATTCTAGTTAGAAACACGAATACTATACTTCCCACCCACCAATTCAAACACCGCCTGCCCATGCCCAACCACATACTCCTCCCTCCCCAAAACAACCTCATTAACCACCACTATCTCCCCACCATCCCCCTCAACTGGCAATCTCACCACTCCCCTCGTCCCTGCAGGCGTCTCAACCACAACCCCATACCCTCCCTCGCCCCTCTCCCACTTAACTCTAAAGCCCCCCAACCCCGTCTTAAACCCCGCCTCCGCTCTCTTCAAATCCCCAAACCCCGGCTGAACCTCCCACCTCCTCCCCGCGGGCTCCACAACCCTAATCCCCGCCACCCACTCCGTCATCGCGCTCGTAGGCCCAGAACTCCACCCATGGCTATGACTTACATAACTCGCATCATTTTCATACCCTCTCTCAGCGCGATACCCAAACGTTCCATCAACCCTATACCCTTCGATGACGGTGCTACTATACGTGCCGTTCAAATGCTTAGCGTACCAGCCCCAGCTACGTCGGATGAGCTCGAGGCCGCGGTCTGCGCGGCGAGCTTTGAAGTGTGCTTGGATTTCGAAGCCGGAGATGAAGGGGGAGATGTTGCCTGGGAGTTCGGGGGGTTGGGCGCCGAGGGGGGTCCAGTTTTTTGTCAAAGCGGTGGAGATAGAGAGGGCGGTTGAGGAGTTTGGGGGGATGAGGGAGAAGAGGAGGGCGAGGCTGTTGGCGTCTTGCGGGTAGAGAGATGTGCTTGTGGCATTGTCGCGGAAGGCGCCGTAGGAGGGGTCGAAGGAGTGGGTTAGGAGGGCGGTTTGGAGGGAGGTGGCGCGGGTGCGCCATGTGGAGGCTAGGGAGGTGGTGTCGTTGAGCCAGGTTGCGAGGAGGGCGCTGGTTTGGAGGGTGTGGAAGAGGAGGACGTTTGCGGCTGTGTTGTTGGAGCCGGTATTCCAGCGGCCCCAGTCGCGGGTGCCGGTTTGATTGAGGAGGCCCGACGAGTCTACTTTGGCGTAGATGTAGTCGATGGCTTTGAGATACTTGGGCCAGTTCTTGAGTACGAAGTCTGCGTCGCCCGTGTATAGCATGTAGTTGTACGTCCCGATCAGCGTCCACATATGGTAAGTGTCGCTCTTCTGCTGCAATAAGGGCGGTCCAGATTCCGGCAACGATCCATCAGCATTCTGATAATCAAACATCACCTGCAACGCATTCTTCACACTCTCCATATCCCCCGTGCTCACAAACGCAGACGGCACCGCAATCCCCATATCCCCCGGCCAAACCGCCCGATCCCTCTTCGCCCCATCAACCAAGATACTCGACCCAGGCCCCAGCGTCCCATTATTCGCCCACCCCTTCTCCAGCATAGGAACCCACCGCCCAGTATTTGGTGGTACAGCATTCGTCTGCAGCGTATACGCACCGCCATACCAAATAGCATTAAGCCACAAGTCATCGCAGTAAAAATATCCCTGGTAAGCCTGTAAATTCGACCACGTGGGTTGGAAACTCAGTTCCAGCTGCGCATCCACCAATACAACATGCGTTCCCGTATCTGTAATCAAAAACGCAGTCATGTATTTAAACCCGCCCCTCAGCACCTCATCCGGCATCGTATACGCCCCGGTTCCTGCACCGGAAATGTTGAAATACAGTGCACCATCTCCTCCTGAGAATTTCCCGTTAGAAGAGTCAGATGAGTAACCGACCCAGTTCAGTGCTTCAGAGAACGCGATGCCAATGGTGCCCGTTCCATTGCTGGTATATGTAAGAGTTGCAATGCCGCCGACTTCGCAGCCAAAGTCGAAAACGACGGTTGTGCCGTTGCCGCGGAGAGTAGCGGTGCGAGGGTAGCTGGCGTGATGGCGGTCGCGAAGTGTGAAGACGGAGCGAGGGCGCACAGTGCGGTTGCGGGGTGCGTAGATGAGTTGGTTCCAGGGTCCTTGGGTAGCAGTGTTAGGGAGGAGTAAGTTTGAAGTGAAAATAGGAATTTACAGGGGTGAGAGGAGGAAAGGTTACGGACCGGAGAATGCAGCTTCAGTTGGTCCTGTGCAGACTGTGTCTCGCCAACATCCTGCTGCTAGAATGTCTAATGGGAATAGTAAGAGTGCAATGAATGCCCATCCTAATGTTGACATATCCATTGTGCTCGAGGTGGATCTATAGGCTGTTAGCGATTTAGTTATACAATTCACGACTCCAATTGTATATACGTCCCAGGAGACTATATACCACTCGGCATGCAATATGCCGAGCGGGCGCAGCGGGCCGGGAACAAATGATATGCATGCAAGAAGATCAGCAATGCGGGGGAACGAGGTACAAAGACGCCACAGTAAGACGAAGGATCGTGCCTTGCATCTGATTGACTAACGTACCGCATTCTTTCGTATCAACAAAGTGTAAATTTTGTCCTGATAGACTCACAACAGAGAAGCCCGACTATCCTTCCAACACTATCATCTTACGCCTACAACTTCCCCTTGACCTCCTTCCCAAGAATCTCCTCCCTCCTCCTAACATCTACATCCCTCGGCCCCTCCTTCTTGAACTTCGCAGTGATGACCCACTCCCTTATCCCCCTCCTACCCTGTCCCTGCTCTTCCACTTCTTTGCCCGGCCGATCCAAAACAAGCACAGCCGTGCTCTTATCCACGCCACCAATACCATCCTGCTTGCTCTCACCATACTCACCCTCGCCCAAGACAATAGGCGAGATACAAGCTTCCGTGAACGGAACCTCAGGCTGGCCATTGTAGATGCGCGGCTTCTGCAGGAAATCAAGGAGCCTATCGCGCTCGGCCTGGAGTTCGGATAGCGAAGGGGTAGGTGAAGATGACGAAGTCACGGTCGAAGCTAGATACGGGGAGAGCATGAGAGTGAGGAAGAATTGCGGGGGGAACAAGATGATTCTGTTCTGTCGCGCGAGATCTATCCATTTGTTTGGCGGCAAGAAACGTGCGGCGGTGTGTTCGATGCCTCCGTCGTGCCTGGGCTTCGGGATGATGATTTCGGCCTCTTCTTCCAGGCCCGAAGAGGGTGGTGTGCCCCTGGGAGCAGCGTGCTTGGTTGGCGATACGGAGCCAAGAGGGAGTAGGTAGATATACATTTGTGTTGTGAAGCGCTTGGGCAGGCTCTCGGGCGTTACCGCTGGCGTGACCCAGCGGGTAAAGGGAATCAGTGATTCAGTGTCGGGTACGGCTCCCCATTTTTCCAACAAGTCCCCAAACTTGATCTCTCCATTATGAACAGCCTTTCTCCCTTGCTCTCTTTCCTCGTCGCTGATTTCAGTGAATAGTCTACCAGTCTTCTTGCTCTTGGCTAGAACGATACCGCATTCTTCAAATGTCTCGCGGATGGCTGCCATGCGATATGCGGGTCCATCTCGATGCCTGTCGGGATGGTCTGGACCAGGCATCTCGCCATCATGGGTCTTTGAGACTGCGCCACCAGGAAAGACATGTGCAGAAGCAAAGGTAGAAGCTTTGGATACGCGATGGAGGAGCAAGATTTGATTTGTTGGGGATATTAAGAGTACGCTGGATATTTTTAGCATGTGTCGTGTAACAAGTTCCGTTCGTTGCTAATTAATGTAATTTGAAGCACGGCCTACCTTGCGCTTGGCCTAGGAACAACAGGCGACTTGGCCGGTTTCTTGGGCGACTGGTGGTCTGACTTTGTAGACATGTTGCGCTTCTGGAGTTCAAGTATCCCTCGCCGGTGAAGAGGTAGGCTCGTTGGCAACGCAAGCAAGAGTCGTGCGCGGTGCCGCAGTAGAAGAGCTGAGGATGAGCGAACAGCTAGACGTATTGGATTTTGAAAATTCGATAATAAGAATTGGGCTTTATTCTTGAGCGAGATTTGATTTATCTTGAGCATATCTAGCAAAGAGAGAGCGTGGTCAACATGTGTGAGGTGTAGGTGGTAGGACACGGGAAGATGCCGAGGTTAAACCTAGCGCGGTGAGGGACGCGGGTCAACATGTTGTGGGGAAATTTGCGGCAGCATCACCCTCTGCCAGCTAAAGATAGAGTTTGTACGTTGAAAATGAACATAGTTCGTGGTATCATTGCTTTTTGGCCTATCCATTGCTCCAGTAACATTTAACCATAAGTCATCTTTGCATGTCGCGTGTCTAATAATGAGAGAATCCTATAGCCCAACCACAACCCACTTAACGCCCTCCCAATGCATTGAATCACTTTTCTTCCTTGGTCGCCTAAGAATAGAGCTTCTTGTCGAAGCTGTGCAGTCCGTGGACGTTACCCTCAGCCTGCGCACTGGCAGTTCGCAATTCGAACCTGACGGTTCCGTTTGCGACACCCTCGTGGAGCTCTGTAAGGCTCTTGACACCAATGTCCTGCAGAGAGTGCTGAACACCAGCCATGAGGTAGGGAACGAACTTGGTGATGGAGCCACGGTCCTGGACAGATCCAGAGACACCCTGAGCGACTAAGACACGGTCACCCTCGGAGAAGTAGCGCGCAGTACCGGCGTTGCTGGCCTTGGAGTCTTGAGCACCGCCTCCGGCCTTCTTGTCCTCCATAGCAGCGATACTGCCCATGCCACGGTAGGCCTTGACGAGCTGACCGTCACGGCTGACAAAGTACTCTCCAGGAGACTCGGTGGTACCGGCGAGAAGACCACCCATCATAACAGTGGATGCGCCCATGGCAAGGCCCTTGACAATGTGTCCAACGTTCTGGATACCACCATCGGCAATGCAGGGCACGCCAAAGCGACGAGCGAAAGACGTGACGTTGAATACGGAGGTGGCTTGGGGCCTTCCAACAGCCATAACTTCCTGGGTAATACAGGCACTTCCACTGCCCATACCGATGCGCAGACCGTCAGCGCCAGCGGCGATGAGCGCAGCGGCCTGCTCGCGAGTGACAACGTTGCCTCCAATGACGTCAAGCTGGGGGTACTTCTCCTTGACGTACTTGATCATCTCGATCTGGTACATGCTGTTACCCTGGCTGCTGTCAAGGATGACAATATCAAGACCAGCGTCTACAAGCTTCTGTAGACGGATCTTGTCCTCTGGCCGGGTACCAATGGCAGCAGCAGCAATCAACTGCTTGGAGTGGGGAAGCTTAGAGGCAAGGGGGAAGTTGAGGTTCTTCATCAAGTCGGAGCGCGACAGCAGCGCGATGAGGTTGAAGTTCTCATCGACGATGGGAAGCTTGCCCTTCTTAGACTTGTTGAGGATATCGTTGGCCTCCTTGAGCTCGACGCCGTGGCGGGCAGTAACGAGGTCGGTGGACATGACCGCGGTGACGGGATCGTCGAGCTTGTCATGGAACTGAATGTCGCGGGGTGTGATAATACCAACAAGCTTGGAGCGCAGGGTGCCATTCTCTGCAGCCATTGTTAGCAATTGCGCATTGCAAGGTATGAAAAAAATGACAGATTTGAAGCATTTCAGGCATATTTTCTCCACAGCACGACGGAATCGTTGCGGATGAACGAAAGTTAAAAATTGAAAAGGTAATCATCACAATGCAAGGGGTCGGAAGAAGTGCATCTGACTTACCAGTGACGGGGAAGCCACCAAATCCCCACTTCTCCTTGAGGGCCTTTGCCTGTCCAACGGTAGTGGTGGGCGAAATAACGACAGGGTCCAAGATGAAGCCGTTCTCGAAGCGCTTGACCTTGCGCACCATCTCAGCCTGGTCATCCTGGGAGCAGTTGTGGTGGATGACACCAAGGCCTCCGAGGAGCGCAATGTGGATCGCCATGTTGTGCTCGGTGACCGTGTCCATGGGGGAAGAGACAAAGGGAGTCTTCAGGGAGATGCGCTTCGTGATTGGAGTATCGAGGGCAACCTCGGCCGCGGCGAAGCCTGTGGCCGTGTTAGGATGCTGCGATTACATGGCCAGAGTGCCAAAAAAAAGTTTCTGGCAGGCAGGGTAGGCCTGGGATGGCAAAATTACGAGGCAAACGCACCAATGTAGCCGGGAAGCATGAGAAAGTCATTGTATGTCAGACCGCCGTTCTTCTTAGAGTCGATGAGCGTCTTGACATCAATGCCATCGTGCTCAGGGTACTCGTTCTTGAGGATCTCAAGCGCCTTGGTGTGGTCCAAGGCGTCGACGGTGGTGTTGGTCATGGCGTCGCCGTTTGAGATGGGCATGATGTGGAAATAAAAGAAAACAGCTTGTCGAGGAACAGACAAGGGCAGCTGGGGTATCACTGAAAGAAAACAGACCGTGGTTCTTTGAGCAAAGACAGCGGCCGGGGAAAGGTGCAAGCTTTCCCAAGAGAAAAAAAAAAGTGTGAGAATGACGGCGGGGAAAGAATTTCAGTGGGCGCGAATGCCAAGGCCGAGTCCGGTTCAGGTGACCCCGCCTTTTAGCGTGTCTGCGGGCGCGTCGCAAGAGAAGGGCATTTCTGGCGTCGAGAGCAGCGCGACAGGCTGCGACAAGGATGGAGCGAGTTGTGCCAAAAGGGCGAGAAGATGGCGATGTGGGCGAATTTATCTCAAGCCGTCTCAAGTGACGCTAGACAACGTGCGCTGGGACGCATTGGCTCCCCGTGCAAGAGGCGCTGTCCAAATAGCGGTGTCCACCCTCTATGCAGACGGCGCAGACGAGATAGACGCTGGCCTCTTGCGCGAAATGAGGCATCGAGACACAACACCACCAGGGCGCCGGGGACTGACGAGCGCTAACACATTGCTTTGCCAGAACCCCCCCGTTGGGATGGGATGGGATGAGAATGAGGGTGACGTGACGGGCGGATCGAGAAGCGTTCTGGTCGGCTGGCCTCGGTTGGCTCGACAACACACACTGGCAGCCCGAGTAAACATGGGCCCGAAAGCTTGGACTCAACCACACGTCCATTTGCAGTCTCAACGCCGTAGTCTTCATCTTACGATACCCCATTTCCCGCCCTTCTTTACCCTCGTTGCCCGTGCAGACTCGACTTGCGCGCCTGGTCGCAGGGCTGAATCCGCTTCCTTTGGGCTGTGTGCGCTCTTTTCGTTTGTCCGGCAGTCGCCTCCACCATCAATCTCTTCTAATATCCGAGCCTCCATGACGGCCTCTTGAGCCTCACCTGCAAACAACATTGACCAGCCTGCCTCGGATCCCGTGCAACATATGCTGTCCCGCACCCCGTCGCACCATCGCCTTCTGCCCTCACCATGAGTTACCTGACGACCCCACGCACCAGACTGGGCCATCCGTCCACAGCGCCTTCCCCACTCCGCCAGACATCAACTGCCTCGACTGCCTCATCAAGCCGCTCAGATCAACACCCTCCAAGCCGCTCAAGTACACAGTCCAGCAATGCTTCGGCCGGCTATTCGTCCTTTGGCCACCGTCGCGGAATGAGCGAGGCCGCCGGACTCTTGACACGGCGGACAGACGACTACTATACACCTCCAGAAGCCGAGCCCAGTGATACGTATTCGAGTATGCGCAGGGCACTGCGCCCGCTACAGCAACCCCCCGCAAACCCGCCCTCGCCCGAGAAGTTGACAAGACATGCAACCTTTGCGAATCCGCCGTCCCCGGAGAAGCCATTGCGGCCCTCGACACCAATAAGTCCATCGTCTGCCGAGAAGATCCTACGACCGCCAATTTATTCGAATCCGCCATCGCCCGAGAAGCTTCTGCGGCCTGCGACAGCCAGTCCTACACGGAGTAACAGCCACATGCGTTCCCAGAGTGTCGAGAACATATACGCCCCATTTGACAGCACCGTCTCCCCGACCGAGAAGACTCGTCCGCTTTCGCTAGCCGTATCACGAAATGATTCTGTCCGCGCACCCACTCGTGACCATTCTTCTCGACCGCTGTCACTTCACCTAGAACGACCAGAACTCAAGACCTTCCAAAAGTCATCAACAGGCCATCTGCGTACCCTGTCTAAATTCGCAGAAACTGCCACCGATGACGACTTTGCTATCAAGTCGCCTGAGCAGCAGGTTGTGGGTCTCAATGGACGGAGAAGGCTTCAGCGGACAGACTCGGCACGACAAAAGTCGGCATCTACCTGGTCGAACCGCAACTGGATGGATCAGCAGCGCCAATTCTTGCAGGCATACGAGTATCTTTGTCATATAGGAGAAGCCAAAGAGTGGATGGAGGACATCATCGAGACTGACTTGCCCCCAGTAGTAGAGCTGGAAGAAGCGCTTCGGGATGGTGTTACGCTGGCAGAGATTGTTCAAGCTGTCAAGGGGCAACCGTTGCGCATTTTCCGGGACCCCAAACTCCAATACCGACACTCCAACAACTACGCACATTTCTTCAAGTTCTTGTCCGAGATTGAACTGCCGGATCTCTTTCGCTTTGAACTAATCGACCTCTACGAGAAGAAGAATGTCCCAAAAGTCATATATTGTATACACGCCCTTTCCTGGCTCTTGTTCCGCAAAGGCATAGTCGATTTCCGCATTGGCAACCTGGTCGGAAAACTGCAGTTTGAAGATCACGAACTCGAGGCAACGCAAAAAGGTCTAGACAAGTCTGGTGTTAGCATGCCCAACTTCTCAGGCATGCAAGCAAACTTCCAAGTCGAGCCAGAACCAGAACCAGAACCAGAACCAGTCGAGTCAGAAGACGAACGCATCGACCGCGAGCTAGCCGAGAACGAAGACATCATACTAGATCTGCAGGCGCAGATCCGGGGTGCCCTAGTCCGGATACGTTTGGGTATGTTGATGCAAGAGCTCTGGGATCAGGAGCACCTCATTGTCGATCTCCAAGCCCGTGTCAGAGCTGATTGGGCCCGCCAAATCGCAAACTACCGGTTGGACATGCGCCGTTTCGCCATGACTTTGCAAAGTGCTGCGAGAGGGTTTCTAGTTCGGTCGAGATTACAGGGCGAGGAGCAGTACTGGCAGGACAAGGCTCCACAAGTGCTCAGAATACAGAACCTATTCCGTGGACGCAAGG